CTGTGAGTGTGTGTGTGTGTGTGTGTGTGTGTGTGTGTAGAACATGAAGAACATTTTTGTTCATGTTTGAACTGTCATTGTCTATGAGTTACACGTAGTATGAGCGACATCTACTGGACAAAGTACATCCAGGTTGCGAAGAAAATAATATAATTATTTTATATCTATTTTGTACTGTTTAAAATGTTGGGCAAAAAATGTGAATACAATTAATTCTGAATTGAATGCTTACTGAAGTCATCCTGGCAATCACAAACATTTAGAATTTATTTGTATTTATTTTTTTAACTAAACACTTTTTCATTGAATTGATGCAGATTAATGCACCATATAAAACAAATGTGAAACAAAAAATAAACATAATGTGCACTGTTGCAGTGTCATTTTAAAGGCATATTATTTTACCCCATTTTTTTTTTTTAAATCTCAGTTATCGTGTACACCGGCTGTGCAATAATCAAACACACTCACTCACACATATATTAATACATTATTATCTTTTGTCACTGATAACTCAAGGAAGAAATAATACATTTCTAGGTAAGATTTGTGGTAATGAATCCCAGGCCACAGCTATACGCATGTACAGGAAACTGAACAGAGAAAGGAACAGGTGTGACTGCAACACATTTTAATGAAAGGGGTGGTTCACTGTTTTTTTTTTGTTTTTTTTTATAGGCTTGATTGTGTTTATGGGGTGCAGTCTAACCAGTTTGAGCTCAGTTGAGAAGCAGAGAGAGAGAGAGAGAAAGAGATGCAGAGTGTGTGCAGAGCAGGGGACGCGAGGAACAGTATTAAGAACCGCTGCTTTAGAACATTGATTTTGAAACTTGTGAATCCATTAGAATCGTTAGAAGACAGAATCGCGATTCATATATGAACAGATTTTTACGTGCACCTCTAGTTTTCTCTTCCTCTTCTCTAAAGCAGCGCTGCATGGCCTCGCCCCCTTTGCTGCCTTTTCCCGAGGGCGGGGTTTATCTGGGTTTGTGATGTCACAAACCCGGGAAGTAACTTGTTGTAGTCCCTACCAGCCGTTTTTGTTGGCATTAAACCGCCAGAATTTTAAAAGACGATATCTCCGTTTGCATTGAACTTTCAGCTTTGTAACTTTGCAGATATTGTTTATGCTCAAACAGCAACATTACACACTAACTAACGGTAAACAAGTGAAATCGCAATCAACCACCCCTTTAACACGCAAGCAAATGATCAAATGTTGTCTAACATGAGTCTAAATGAATCTGAACAGCATTTTTTTATTATTATTTACACATTTCCAAAACTTAAAGCTGGAGATCATGCATTACTCTAAATTAAAATGCTAGTCAATATCCATTTATTTACATTTTTTCTTAGACCCAAGCTCAACTACTTTTACTGCTTTCTCAACCAGAGCCGTTGCATTCTTGTAGTTAAGCTGTGCTGCCTTGATCATGGCGTCACACACTGAATCAGCTTCTTCTGCTGCTTTCCATCCAGTGATTCCTCCTCCAGCAGCTCCTGCAACAGCTGCGACTCCAGTAACAGCTACTCCTGCTTTTGCTACTGCTCCTCCTCCTGAAGCCACAGCCTTAACTACCGCTCATGTTTCCCCTACATTTCCTGTCATTACTACTACACTTCTTTTAGCAATACATATTTTCTATAGTTTTGATAAAGCATAAATGAAAGCTAATGCAACACATGCTCCCAGAAGAGCACCGATCACCACTCCTGTTGCTGCTCAAGAATTTTTTCATGAATAATTTCCTTTCCTCTTGAATCTCTTTCTCCAACATCTGAAGAAGCTCATTGCTGTAGCAGCCATTCTCTTTCACCATCTTGTCGATGGTCTTCAGTAGATTTTTCACCTGAACCTTGTTGCTCTTGTTCCCCCATATACGTTTTTTTTCCCTGTATTTGTTGTCGATGAAGTGACCGCGACCTCTACATTTATCAACCAGCTCCTGTAGTTGTGAACTGGCCTTCACAAATTCTTTAATGGTCTTGCCTTCTAGTTGATCACCAAAAGTGAATAAGATAACTGCGCGTTTTAAGGCGTCCTCATTCAGTGTGTTCAGGAGTTTCTGTACCACTTCATTTTCGTGTCTTGTGTGTCTTCCGACCTTTAGAACAATGATAAAGGCATCAACCGCAGGAGCACATTCAATCAAAGATTTAACAATCTCAGATTTTGTCTCCTCATCATTATGATCCGTGTCAAAGAATCCAGGTGTGTCAATCACTGTGATCTTTCTGCCATGAACCTTCATCTGCCTTCTTTCACATTGATCTGTAACAGAATTAGCTGAAGCTTTAGGGATGAAAACTTTTTCTCTGAGAATTGTATTTCCAGCTCTGCTTTTGCCATCTCCTGTTTTCCCAAAAAGCACAATTTTTTCTCTCTGACTTAGACACCTTTGCTGTTTGAAAAAGAAACATATTATTTACATTAATCTTTAATTTGGCTTTTGATACTTTGAAAATTTTTAACAGTTTTTTATTGACAGTTTATGTATGTATGTATGTATGTATGTATGTATGTCACTCTAAAAAAAATGCTGGGTTATTTTTTTTCTAACCAACTGCTGGGTTGAGCCTGCTGGGTCATATGTTGTGTTGTTTTTTCCAGAGCTGGGTAGTTTTTGTGTTTTGTTCTGACTGCTCCGACGAAACTACCCAGCTGTTGAGTTACAGTCAAAGCATGGGCTTTTTGCGTCCTCTTCAGGAGAGAGCTGTTTTCAGTGCCACCGATTTGGTGCACTTCTTCAGTGAAATAAAGGTTTGTATAAGTTTTATTCACTTTATAAAGTCTTTACTGTGCTGTAAATGATATTATTTTACACAACACAACATACAGGGACCAGATGTCTATCAGCTAAATGCATCAGCAGCGGTCATTTCGCATGACGGAAATGCCTTTTGCCTTGCATAACATAAACTGATTTTATCATAATACTGAATTTAATTTATCTTGATGTTAAAATGTGTTCTCTAATCTCTAAACCATAGTAACCAGCCCGAGAAACTTAGCAACCGCATAGCAACACCGTAACAACTGTCCCGGATACCCTGGCAAATGCATAGCAACACCCTAACAACCACCCCGGGTACCATAGCAACCGCATAGCAACAATCCAAGTATCCTAGCAACCACATAGCAAAACCTTAGCAACCACCCTGAGTACCCTAGCAACCACATAGCAAAACCTTAGCAACCACATAGCAACACCCTAGCAACCTACCTAGGAACTCTAGCAACCGCATAACAACACCTTAGCAACGACCCTGAGTACACTAGCAACCACATGGCAACATCCTAGCAACCACCCAGCAACAACCCTGATTACCCTAGCAACTGCATATCAACCCTAGAATCAATCAATCTGTCTGTCTTTCTAATAGACTGTATTGCCTTCAAAACATTCAGACTTTAATCTTTAAAACTGTTTTAAACTGAAAATGATTTCAAACTGAAAACCATCAAACTTTTAAAACTTTCTTCTCTGCATGTTGGGTAAAAACATTTCACCCAACCAGTTGGGTCAAAATAACCCAGCATGTGTTCTGTCCAATATTTAGCCCTGTAGTATCTGTCAATATAAATGCTTGCACATTTATTAGTACATGCACTGTAAATTGCCACACAATCATATGAACTTACATCCCATTGTCCTTAATATCTGCTTATGATGTCAGTGTCTGTAAGGCAAATAATATTTAGGTTATTCTTGACTTTGTGCTCACAGCACAGACACCACAGTTTCCGTCATTCGTCAAAACTGTGTAAATGCAATGAAAACTCAAATGCCAATAAAATGTTTTCATTTAATTGTAATCTTATAAATGTAATCTACAAATAATTAAATACCACCAGATATGTAGGGTCTGTAAAATGTGTGTGTGTGTGTGTGTGTG